ATGTTTTACTTTTGTTAGCGAAGAATTTTATTCACAAATGTAGATTTTTTAAATCACCCCCCATGTTTATAGTATTTAAGAACTATTTGAGACAATACTCAAAAACTTTGTCAAAAACAAAAAATTAAAAAGCTGGAATCTTGTTAGATTTATTTGATAAATATAATTTATTATAATGTTTTTTTATCCCCTGTGTTTAATTTATATTTATTCATATAGATGATTTAAAGAATTAATGTTTTTTGTTCTTTTTTAAATAATTTTTCTGTGTAAGTCCAAGCCGCTCTTAAAACTGTTGTCACTGAATGTAAGTTGTATGCCAATTTGTTCTGTAAAATCGTAATTTTTTGTTATACTTCAAAAAAAAAAAAAAAAAAAAGATCATGATAACAAGGCAGAAACGTTGCATAAACAAACTGTATGAAGTGTATTTTACAATTAAATATGCGAAGACACTTAGCATTTGAGGAAAACAAATTCACCAGAGTAATTCTGTGTTTGTGTATGTTCGTGTGAATAATTGTTTCGATGTTTGGAGTGATAATGTTGCTGTTACTGAATGTCTCGTGATCTGTGAGAGGAGTGGATATGAACTGATCTCAAGTTTTGCTGCTGCTATTTTTTTATAACGTTATTTCTCTTTTGAGATTTATCTTTCGCAGATAAAATTTGTTATAGTTACTTTTAGGGCTGCACGATAAATATCGCACAATATTTAATGCGCATCTTATCAGTAAAGCTGGTTCTGTAATCAGTGCTTTCACATGGGGAAGCATTAACTACACAGAGCCGTTGTTCACTGACAAGCTGCGCAATATATGTGTGTGGTTTTGCGCAGCTTGTCAGTGAACAACGGCTCTGTGTGAAAGCACGCACGTGATGGAGATTTACCGCTGATTACAGAACCGGCTTTACTGACGAGATGCGCGTTAAATATTGTGCGATATTTATCGTGCAGCCCTAGTTACTTTACATGGTTAAAATTAAGAACAGATACTGCCAAATACTTCATATAATTAGTCTGTATAATGAGCCTCGTGGGATATTTTGAAAAGAAAATGCAGTCGTCGGCGTCTACACCAGATCTTGTTGCCGATCTACTAAAAACGTCTTTTGCAGACAAAGGAGAATAACTGAGAAAGGAAGACCTACACTGAATTCGCTAACAAAGGCCAACAAAGTTTTTATGCGCCATTTCAAAGATTGCAACTATGAGTGTTATGAGTGGCTAACAGCTAGCACCGAGCACCGAGTTATTTTGTAGGCCGTGTTTACTTTTTAATACGAGTAAAGGGACATGGAATGACAGACCCATGAACTTTATTTACAAGTGACAGGTGAGTGCTTTATTATTTGATGAGAATGGTATCATGCACATTGTTATGGAGGTGTACATGGTATGCTGATAATACTGTGGTGTGGTTGGTGTGTGGATGTCCAGCATTTGTACAGTTTTGCTGCTTTGGGCGCGTTGTCATTTTAGAGTGACGTGAATGTGCATAGTGACCCCTACTGTTGAAATTGTTGATCAGCCGTTATTGTTGTTGAGAGCCTGTGTGCGGCATAATATGTGCATTATATGCATATGGCTGTTAGCTGTAACAGAGATGTGTAAGATGCATGTAGTTTACAGTTGCTTACTGAAGGCCCTGACTGAAACCCCACAGTACGCCACTGGGTAAACATGACTATTTATGTTGTGCCAACTTGTGATGTTAACGTAATCTTTTAAATCGGGCGGACTTCAGTCCCTGTTTGTTGAGTTTACTCAAAAAAGCGCTTGCGATAAGTTGCCTTATTATTTTAAGTTGACCCAACTTTTTTTCTTTTTTTTTTTTACAGTGACCCCAAAATGACATTTTTATCATTAATCACTTACCCCCATGTCGTTCCAAACCCGTAAAAGCTTTGTTCGTCCTTGGAACACAATTTAAGATATTTTGGATGAAAACCGGGAGGCTTTTGACTGTCCCATTGACTGCCAAGTAATGAACACTGTCAAGGTCCAGAAAAGTATGAAAGACATCGTCAAAATTGTCCATCTGCCATCAGTGGTTATCAACAGTAACGTTATGAAGCGACGATAATACTTTTTGTATGCAAAGAAAATAAAAATAATGATAAATTTTCAACAATTTGTTTCTTCGGTGTCTCACCGCGTCACCGTAGCGCCATTTTGAAAACAAAAAAAGTATCTTTGTGTTGCGGCTGCCACAGAACCGTGTACGCTGTTTGCGTTCAGTGGATAATCTCCAAAATGGCACTACGGTGACGCGGTGAGACACAGAGGAGATGAATTGTTGAATAAATGTCGTTATTTTAATTTTCTTTGCATACAAAAAGTATTCTCATCGCTTCATAAAATACAGATTAAACCACTGATGGCAGAGGAACTATTCTGACGATGTCTTTCATACTTTTCTGGACCTTGACAGTGTTCATTACTTGGCAGTCAATGGGACAGTCACAAGCCTTTTAAAAAAAGCTTTTACGGGTTTGGAACGACATGGGGGTAAGTGATTAATGACAAAATTTGGTAACACTTTACTTGAAGGGGTGTGGCTGCACCCATGGTACGGCAGCAAAGTTCCTTGATTATTACGCCGGAATGAGAGTATAGAGCCTAGCCATATCGGCCTAGAAACTTTTAAACTTTTCCGTAGCTTTTCATTTTCCGTCGGTCTTAGTACATGATGTAACTACAGAAGAGTCAAGTTTTAAAGAGGAAAAATATAGAAACTCTTTGGTCATTTTTGAGCGAGATTCATGACATGACACATGTCATGAATATGAAGGAGGTTTTATGCATGTTTATGACAACTGTCATTACAAGTACCACTCCACTTTTTTTTGAAAACAGGCTCATTTTCCAACTCCCCTAGACAGTTGAGTTCAGTTGACTTGAATGGGTGTGCATAATCATGACATGACACCTTCATAATCATGACATGACACATGTCATGAATATGAAGGAGGTTTTATGCTTGTTTATGACAACTGTCATTAAGTGTCATTCGCTCAGTTATGTAATTTTTAATGCAAAGATGACATTGTTTGACCTAACCCTACCCCTACCCCTACCCCCCTAACTCATAACAAAGACATCTCAAACAATGTCATTTTTGCATAAAAAATTACATAACTGAGCGAATGACACTTAATGACAGTTTTCATAAACATGCATAAACCTCCTTCAAATTCATGACATGTGTCATGTCATGATTATGAAGGTGTCATGTCAGTCTTATGCACACCCCTTCAAGTAAGTGTAACCCAAAATTTTCATTTTGGGGTGGAGTAACCCTTTAAGCATGGACTTTACTTTCATTAAAAAGGTTGATTTAGTAAATGTAAACTATTAATTTAAATTATAGACAAGTGCAAACTGGGTGCTTAATGCAAATGTAATTGGCCACATTTACAAAATCAGGTGATTATGTTCGCACATCTATGCAAATGTCTCTTTATGTATAGAGACAAAAGAATGAGGTTAATCACTAGCAGTTTTAGTGATCGTGTAGATTTGCAAAAAATCTTCAGCTTTTGGTTTTATTTATCAAACACAAAACCTCTTTAAGCAAACAGAGTTAGCTAAATCTTATCTAAATGAATTCTAATTTTAATCTAAATGTGATCTAATTTCATAATCACTAGCAGTTTTAGTGATCGTGTAGATTTGCAAAAAATCTTCAGCTTTTGGTTTTATTTATCAAACACAAAACCTCTTTAAGCAAACAGAGTTAGCTAAATCTTATCTAAATGAATTCTAATTTTAATCTAAATGTGATCTAATTTCAATCAGCTCCGCTTCCGAAGATGCCAGACTTCAAGGCAACTTTCTTCCCATATGTGAATGTCCCTTTTTTGTTTTTTTGATCTCGTCATAAGTTCTTGTGATCTAGACACAACAAAATAGCTGTACACTTCAGAAAGTAAAAGAAAATAATATCACATGGCCTAGAGCTTGCATGCTTTTCTGATTAGTTAAAAACGCCTGTCTCGATGTGAAACTGTGCTTGAAGACACAGTTGTGTGTGTGAGATCTTTTAACAGGCCGAGATGTAACAATATGTATTTTATAAAAATACCATATATATTTTAGACCCTGCTTTAAAGGTTCACAGTTTAAGTTTACAATTTTAACATACAATGTCATAACATTTTGATCTGAACAAAAAAATTACATCTGCTTAATATCAATGAAAAATGAAGTGCTTGCAGGATCCCAAAACAAATGTAAAACAATAACATAAATACAGATGTTGAACATTCTCAGAACCTTTCATCTTGAATTTCACAGGTTTTTCAGTTTGTATTTGTTCCACGTGGAATCGCTGAGAACTGCACAAAACGCCCCCACCACCAGAGAAAGCTGCAGGCTTAAATTAAACAACTGCCATGAATCTTGTATGATTTTTAAATCAATATTAATATTCAGTTTTTGAAAGTCGATACAGTATCGCCAAACAAAATATTGTGACACTCACATGTATCAATATTTTCTTACACCCCTATTTCTAATGCCCAAGACACACTGCACAATTTTCGGCTGTCCCAGACAAAAGACTGGCATCGTGAAACAATCGCAGTGATTTCTGATTCGCCACGATTGTTTCACGATGCCAATCTTTCATCTGCGACAGCCGAAAATCGTGCAGTGTGTCTCGGGCTTAGCAGCGTATTTATAGCCTGTCTGGAATAATTAACACTGCATTATTTTTATCCATTAGTATAAAAATGAGTTCAGTAACTCAGTGATATATTTTAGATTTTGGCAGATCAGCTCCTCCCACATTGCAATTCATCAGTGAAGCTCCTCCCACTGTAATCACATCATCGGTGAAGCTCCTCCCACTGCAGTTCACCAATAAATGCTGCAATATTCCCTCCAGTTTACAAGTGAAGACGAGCATCAAATCATCAGGAAGAGCTGAAATCTGCAAAGACTGAGTTTATTAAAGAGGACAGAGAGAAGATGAGAGATCCAGAACCCTGCAGAATCAAACACACTGAAGATACTGAAGAGCAAACAGGTTGGTGATTATTCTTGATTCTTCATTAATAATGCAGGCTATAAATCTTCAAGCAGATTTAGATTTGTTGTAATAGGGTACTTTTTCAGTAATATTTATGTTAGATAATTGTGTAGCTAATCAAACATATTTAATAGTTCTCCATATAGAAACATGGAATTTGTGATTATAATATTTAAAAAAATAATAATTTGAAGATCAATGTACCTCATTCATGGAAAGTTTCAGGGACTTATAATTTATAAAATGACATCAAAATTACCAAAATGTTGTATAACAACTGTCTACTTTATACTGTTACATCAGAGTTCATCAGGGTTACTGAGAGTTACTGAAAATTAACCATTTTTACTTTTATTTCAGAGTTGATTGAAGAAAACAAGGATAATCAAGAACTGAGTGAATATGAGGAGAAAAATAATGCCAAAAGCAGAGAAAATCCTTTGAGCTGCTCTCAAACCAAACAGAAAGATTTAAAGAAAAGAGCCAAGAAATCTTTCACCTGCACTCAGTGTGGAAAGAGTTTGACAAGCAAATATAAATTTGATGTTCATATAAGAGTTCATACTGGAGATAAACCATTCACATGTGATCAGTGCGGGAAGAGCTTCACTCAATCATCAAGCCTTAAGAAACACATGCACATCCACACTGGAGAGAAACCTTATAAGTGTTCATACTGTGACGAGAGATTCAGTCAGTCTGGATACCTGAAACCACACGAGAGGATCCACACTGGAGAGAAACTGTACACGTGTGATCAGTGTGGAAAGAGTTTCACAATAAAAGGACACCTTACAGGGCATATGAGAGTTCATACTGGAGCGAAACCATTCACTTGTGATCAATGCGGGAAGAGTTTTTCAGACTCATCAACCCTTAAAAGACACATGAACGTTCACACTAGAGAGAAGCTTTATGCATGTGATCAATGCAGCAAAACAGTTTTGTGGGCTTCAGACCTGAAGACACACCTGAATGTTCATACAAAGGAGAAACCACATTCATGTCATTTGTGTGGAAAGAGTTTTTCATGTCAAAAACAATTAAAAGAACATCAGAAAACACATTCTGCTGTGAGAGAGTACATGTGCTTTGAGTGTGAAAAGACTTTTACTACAGCAAACTGTTTAAAACATTCAGCACACAGAATCAGGCCTCAGGCCAGGTTTCTGCATCTCGTTTCCTCGTCCTCCTCAGGGGACTGTTCTCACAGTCAATGTCCCCCTTGTAAACAACAATTATAATTGTTTCACGATGGTCCTCTGGCGATTTGAAGCGGCCATCCAGGAAGAAATGTCTTTCTGTGGTTTACAGATCAGTAGCAGTGTCCTTTGGGGTGAAGAGCGAGTGAGTCACGGCGAAAACAAGAGGCAGGGGATGACAGAAAACAGAAAGTTCTCCGACAAATACCCAGGAAAACATCAGTCATTCATTAAAAAGACCAGGCAGCTGCTGTGCTCTGTGTTCAATATGTCACGATTTCTTTGATCAATTTTGCGATTTCGATTTTAATCACGATTTTGACACACACAGACTTGCTTTACAGTCATAAATGAATTCAGTGTGAATTTGAAACATATTTCCAAAAGAAAACCAATTAGAGCTTTATCAAAAAGCTGTGTCTCTAGAACAGACATAAAGCAAAATAATCACTAAGTAAAGGTGTAACAAAATGTCTCTAGAATAGACATATGGCAGAAAAAAAAATCCCATATCCAGGGAATTTTTTTTTGCCATACATTGGTCATAGAGCTCTTTCTAGCGGTACCTCAGGTGTTGAACTAGATTATGCTGTCTGTATCGGAAAGAGAAATGATTAGTTAACCTCTGGAGTCTCGGGTCTGACTCTCCTGAGTCGTTCGTTCACATGACTTAAAGGCTGTATTGGATACAGAAATTAGTTAATATTTCCCAAACTTCCTTACAAGCATAGCCAGTTTTTAAACTCATGATGGGTTTCTGTTCTCAAATTGAAGCTTTTTTTAGTTCTTACAACTTAAATATATTTATATAAATTTTTGTCATGATGGCTCTTTCCCATAACATTGAATGTGGTATAGAGAGTTGCTTTAAACTTTATCCGACGATTTCATATTAAATATCATCAGCCACATATTCTTTGAAATAAACCAGTAAATGAGCAGCTTCACATTGTACAATGATGTTTGAATGCGGGTTGCGGCCGACCGGCGGCACTTTGAATTGGAATGTAGTCCATCCATGGCAGACAACTCCTGCTGTTTATGTATTCTGCACGTTCTGCCTGGAATCTGCCCCTTGAAAGACTTAAAAGTATAAAAAATGAAAATAACAAAAAGATCAGTTTTTTTCTTACAAGTGAAGTGTAATCATTACAATAAATTTGCAGCAATGTTCATGTAAAGAGTGTGATAAACAGTACAAATTTTCATCAGTTTTTATTTAATATTGTGAAAATTATTCATAAATAATGCTTTTTTCACTCAAAAAATGAGGTGCCTACTTTCAGATAAATGAGGCCTACGATTAATCAGATGCAAATATAAATACAAAACCAGTCCTAAATGAAAGAAAAGAAGTTGACAAAAAGATTGAATCCAATATTTGGTGATAATATAGCATAATGAGTGATTTATAAGCAATTTTTTGAGCCCGGGTCATTTTTGACCGGGAACACCACAAGTGTGACTTTGTGCCATTTTGTACAAAATAAAAGCCTTACAAAACAAACTCCCTGATTAAACATTAAACCACACTATTGTGATAAACAGTGCAAATTTTCATCAGTTTTTATTTAATATTGTGAAAATTATTCATAAATAATCATTTTTTCACTCAAAAAATGAGGTGCCTACTCTCAGATAAATTATAATCAATTTTTTGAGGCCGGGTCCTTTTTGCTCTGTAACCTCGTTATTGTGATAGGGTTCTGAACACAACACAAGGGTTAAACAAACACAAACACAACTGATCTATTTTCTCTCATCTCAGAACAGTTATGTCTGCTGTGCATCTGCTATGGTATCACGATAACTTTTAAAATATAAGCTATATGAACAAATAAATCAACTAGTTGTTACCTCTATCCATTTAC